ACTCTTTTCGCCCTTCTTCAAGATCGGTACGACGTTTGCTCGTCTCCAGTCCTTAGGTACTTCCCCACGCGAAAAGCTGCTTTCGAATATAATTCTTAGCGGAACCGATATTTCTCTCGCGGTTTCCTTAATGACTCTCTTGGGAATCCCATCGGGACCGGTCGCCTTGCCCACCGCCAACTTTTTTTGTGATGCTTTCTTTCCACTCTCCACTCCTTTCTAATTGGGGTCATCAACCGCGAAGCTGTTTTAGTGGGTCTTCAGTCCCAAAAATGCTGATGGCGAGGATGATGAGTGGGGTTGCTTACCGTTCCACACCTTGTCCTCTGTCACAGGAGCAGAGTTATCGTCCTCACCTTACGTATATGCCAGCCAGTGGGTTGGAACTACTTGCGCCACCTATTGAGAGTGAAAGGTCCCAGATGGACGAGTGGCGCTTGGTATGGGGCATGGAAAGCCGGGTGTAGTTGGTTTACAGGCCCTTTAACCGGTGGTGGCCGGATCCTCATCGGCAACATTGTACCCGCACTTCCACGATTCGGCGTCATTTTTTATCGTGGTACGAGTTAAATGGATCTCTTTCGTCCGTTTGTTGTAGTTTTACAATGGGTGGTTGGACGAGCTAATGTCGATTGTTAACGAGTTTGTTGATTTAATGGGAATCTGGACTCGGCAAGGTAGGCCAGTAGGGTCACCTACTTTTCCTTAATTCACAACTTCCCACTCCTCAGTAAAAGTTAGGCTTCTAGCCTGCATTACCGATGCACCTCTGGTAATCGTCCTTATGGTACACTGCAATTCCAACATCATAGTTTCGTTGGTGCCTGCCTTCACGAAAGATATCGCAAACTTATACCTCTTCTGCTGCCCTCATTCCATACAGGGCAGGAATATTCCACCGATAGACGTGAGCCTAGCAAGGATATCCTCGCGTTACGGCTGTGGGTGAATCCATTATCACGACCTCTCGCCTTTGGTTTATTTGAGGCTTAATGTTAGGCCTACTCTTGACAACTTGGTGCCTCAAAATAGGCCGGATTATCAAGAGGTGCAGAGAAGAAATTGGAGGGGCTGGGGAGTCCTCACAAGCCGTGTGAATGTAGAAGCTGCCCTGGGACTGCTCCTTTTTCACATATAAATTAATGACCTACCCTGAACCAATCCCACTTCAACCTTTAAACTTTTAGCATATGGCACAAATGCATGTGTATCAGAGAATTCCATATGAAAAATTATAATCATCTCATGCAATGCAGTGACCATATTCCCACATAGTCCAAGCAAATGAACTAAATCTTAATGAAAGTAAGACTGCCATCCTCTTGCTTAGCCACAGCAATCACAACCATAATAATGTATACAATCTGGGTTATCTAACAAATATATATTTTTAATTCCTTGGGATCCACAATGGCTAAGAATCCCAGTTCCCAGCTTTCACTTTTCATCATCTCATTTGCTAAGTATATGTTGTGCACCTATTGAGTTGAGCATTAGATGCAGCATAATCACATGGGGATTTGCCCTTACATCACAGCCACTCAGAATCCTAAGGATACAAAAGTGGACACTGGGTACAATTCCAAAAAGTCCAGGCACACATCTTGGTCATGAACCATTCAAAACAGTCATCAGAACAGCTTTTGGCTTGCTCTATCTGGAAAGCTGTTTTGACATACACAAAGGAAACAAAGTGGCCTCTATTTGACTGAGGTTTTTACCATTTTGACATTAGGTTTTCTCACAGAACTCGAGTATGTAGTGAGGATTAGGAAACATCAACTGTGATTTCATTAGCATCAAACTCTATAATATGCCCCTGGAATTTTATCCTTGTTTCCTCTTGAAGTATTAAAAAATGAACTTCCTGCTGTTTTACTGTCAAGGCCAGTTCAGAATATGGAGGAGACATAATTGCTTCATTCACTGAAAATAAATTTATTGATTCCAAGTATATGCCAGTTGTTGAAGTGAACTCCCATCCATTGCTTTTCTGCTGTCTCCCCCCTTGTATGGATACAACTGCTGAGTTACAATCTCATGCATATTCCCGTATGTGCATGCAATTAAATTGCTTTCTTCCTCTCATCATGCCCCAGATCCTTCTGGCTCTTGCCCTTTCTTGCTCCTTTCTCAATTGAGAACCCAAAAGTTTGTATGCCTGACAAACAAAAAAATGATGACAATGTCGAACTTGAGCAGCTAGGCCTTCATGTAATGTTAAGCCTGTGATTGGTCCATAGCCTATGACCTATAAGTTAGTCTCCGCAGGGTAGGCAATAAAATCTGGAGCACTGTTATAATTATGAACATTTCTTTGTCAAATCTGAAAAAAAAGTAGGCCATGAATAATCATGTATTTGAAGGATAAGCCTAGGGGTAAAGTTAGGCCTGTAATAAGTATGAAAGCTATAAACTCATAAATCCTAAGCACATGGTGCTCTTACTGGCATTTAAGAAGATTTATATGAATTTAGGTACTCCTTGGATTTTCTAAGGCCAAGGGTGCTTGCACTTTTCAAACTTAAAAGCTTGATGAACAGTGACTCTCGCACTATGGGCTACTAGTGTAGATCTTTTCATTAAAACTAAAAATTAAGACCAGTGTAAGGAACAAAATTAGCTTTATTTCCTTTCTTAATTTGGGCCTGAACCACTCCTCTTCTCCTATGTACCTGCAAAGAGATTTAAAAATCCTTGATGAATCCCTGAATGCCTTGTTATGGTGGATAGTGTCACTCATGTCTTTGTGATGCTTGGAAGAAGCATATTTGAAACCTCTGATGTAATTTCTGAGCTTCGTGCCTCTTTTTTATTGGAAGTGATGAGCATCTTTTCTAATTATTTCTGTGGACACCAGAAGTAAAGATGTGCAAGAGAAGGACTCAGATTAGCAAGTTTAAACTGTAAGGAATATGTCCTTTACAGCCTGTTTCATTTTTCTAACATGGGGTACCCTGTGCATACCCCACAGAAAAAAATATCAATGTCTTTAAATTGGTAGGTACTTTTGATTCATTATGGATGAATGACATCCCTTTTCTTTCACTTTTTTTGCAGGCAAGAAACAGATTTGGTGCAGGTTCTGAAGAATGGAACAGGAACAGGAGAAACTTCTCAGTATGCTCTTTGATGGTGACTTCCCAGGTGCGTGTACATGTGTCATGTATATCAATGAACTTGTTTCTACTTCTGATTGCCACTAAGTATATTTAACATCTTTCAGCTCACTGTCTCACTAGGTCTAGGCATTTGCAGTGCCAACTTAGATTGTTATGGTTGTGGAGTGCATTGTGAGTGAACTCTTGTTGTAGACCTTTATTAGCTGAAGTCAGATCCTTGTGACAATGCCATATTATTTTTACCAGACCATTGGAAGGATGACGTCGATGTAGCTGTCTTTCTACGAAACTTTGCGTCACTTGGAATTGACCAGATTTGTAAGTATGCTGCTAAAACTCTCCTCCTAAAAATGGTCTTCTTATGAAGCAAAGAAGCCCTTCTAAAAATATTTTCATTACTCTAGCAAGGGAACCCGATCAACTGAAGGATGACAAGCGGGCTGTTCTCCAGCAGACACAGGATCTTGCTTTTTCACACTACAAGACATTCATTAGAACTGCACATTGTTCAAAAGATCTTTATGATGATGTGAGTCTTATTGTTAATCTCTATCTCATCCTTTATGCACAGTGAAGACCTACTTACATTCAGATGGCTACTCTGATGTATACTTTTGGTGAAATTCAAATTGGAATGAAAATCAAATTTACTCACTATCTGAAACTTTGAATGCATGGGAAATGGTGCACAATGCATATTTGGTGACAAGAATCAACAGCATTAGTTGCACCAACACCAACCATCCTAATGCTGACATTCATGTCACTATCAGTGTATCTGTACTTTAAGCCATATCTATTTACTCTCACAAGCATTACTTACCTTCAGATTATAGTGCCCACTGAAATTTGCTGGATTTGGAAAGCTGTAATTTTTGCTTATACATAGATCAAAATAAATTTTTTGCATGTGTTGAAGTCTACAGTTTTGTAGCTTATACATTTTGCTCATGTGCTTGGCCCCCATATATATGTCTCTTGGTTTCTCCCTTTAAGGACTTGTAAAGACCATCATAAATGGGTGATAGCATTAAAGCATGGAGGATATAATGGACAATGTCATGCAGGCAACTGCATTCATTCCTATGGTACTTTTGCAAAATATCATGGATGAGTGCTAAAATGCATTGATGTTCTGGGACAGTAAATGGAGTTTGTGTAAGACTTAGGCAAACCGTGTAAATCATTTATCACGGATGAGTACACAGTTGCAAAAAAAAAACTAAAACTATTTGAGGAACCTTGTAAATTCCAAAGTAAAAGGCATTCGGTCAAAATTTCTGGAGTTTTCTTTTATCTGAGGCAAAGCTGACTACCTTTTACTGTTTTTGTTTAACAGATGAATACTGCAGAGAAGAAACTTGAAGGGATTTTGAATGTCTTGCCTCAAATGCAGGAGAAAACAAAGTTGTTTATTGGTGAGTATTGGTTTTCCTGGTACTAGTGACTTGTATCTTTTAAAGCCATACATTAAAAAAAATTGTATGCTTGGAATGCCTTTTTCATGTCTCCATCAAGTTGGCTGTTCCCTTGGACACCTCATATCTATCCCCCAATGGCTAGTTTTGATTAAAAGAAATTGTCACATTTTTCATTGAATGGCTGCTCTTGGAATTTTGAAAGAAAATAAAAAAGTAGTGATGTAGTGACACAATAACCCAATAACATGGAAGGCATCCTCACTTATGAATCTTTCCATCCACACATGTGTATGTGGAGGAATTATCAAAGAAGGGCAAGTTTCTTGGATTAATAGATGAACTCTAATATTGTACTCCATTTAGATTCAGTAGGTAGTCACTGTTTCTTCTAGCATGACTTGAGCTGATAGGAATTAGACTGGACCTTCACTTGCCTGATATCTCACTTAGTGGGCACTTATTTTCTCTCTCTTATGCTGGAAAAGAAAGCACCTGTACTTGCTGAAAGTGCAAGTTCATTGATTTCTTAAATTATAATATGATGGTCAGTACCAGCACTAACATCAGGACTGCATCAATGGGCTTATTGCTTCTCTCACTGTGGGAATGCCAACTCTGACCAATGAGGCTTGGTCAGAATACTCATTTTACATTTGGCAGATTGAAACACATAAAAGAACTGGAATGAGTAATGGTTACTAATAAGTATATATACTAATATGATCCAACTTATTTTTGTGGTGTTGCACATTACTTTGCTCTGTTATGCAGAATGGTAATAACACCTGTCTCTTTCTCTGTATCTGCTATTGGAAGATAAGGGAAGTGAACTGAATGGGAAACGGAGGTTGAACAGCCTGACACTTGCAAAACATACAGGACTACTGGAGTTACTTGAACTTCCTCAAATTATGGAGTCCTGTGTGAGGAGTTCTTATTATGAAGAAGCTCTTGAGTTGTCTGCTTTTGTTAAACGATTGGAGAAAAAGCACTCCCACATATCTGCAATTGCTGTGAGTCATAGGATTCCTTTCCTCAGCCAATTTTATCGTGTCACTATCAGAGAAACTATTGAATTTTAAGATGTTTTGTTTGTGTTCTCCATGCTTTGTGGGTAGAGTGATGCTGCAAAACCTAACAAGGGTCATTTCACAATTTTAAGGGATTGATTTTCACGTCATGAAGTTAATATGTATAACACCAATTGTATAACCCTTTTTTTATTGTCTGTGATCCAATGTTGATGGGAAAAGAGGGAGAAATGTTTAGGTGACATATTGCAACAGTCCTTGCAGAACGCATTTGGTTCACAAGTTCCCAAGGACCATGCAAAACATGCCAATAATTACTTGAAATTCAGTCTAAAAAAAAAGGTATGTTACTTTTGAACTTGCATATTTATCTATGATGCCTTTTTCCTTTAGATGATGTTAAAAATTTATATATTCATGATTTGAAAGCTTAATAGTTCTGGACATGAATTTAATGTTCTTCAGCAGGTCTTCTGACCTGTCTGTATTAAAGAATGTGATAATTCTAATACCTTGTCTTTAGAAAAGAGCAATTTGATTGGAAATGAGTCTCAGAGATTCTACTTGACATCTTGTGTTCCTCTATTTTTAGAGGAACACATGATGTTATCCCTGAGGTTGAGTGTAAGGTTATTTCCTAATGAAGCTGAATATCATGATTTCTTGGGATAATTGGTATAAAAACTGACATTGGTTTGCATCTCAAAAAACAAGAAACTTGCTAATTGTTATCCAAAGAGACAAATGGAGCAAACTTCTGGTTTTTGTAATTGTAACATGAATAAATATTCTGCATGTCAGCCAGTGCTAAGATACTCACTTTAGTGAGATTAAAGGTAGAAGTGACATAAGGAGATCCCTCATGGGATGTACATGAATCATGTTTCCTTCCCAAGGGTATAGTGAAAGAGGTTCAGCATAGCAACCAGATGATGCTGATGCAGCTATTGACCCAACTCAGGAAGGATATCCAACTGCCCCAGTGTCTCAAGGTCATCGGATACATACGCCGAATGGATGTTTTCTCTGAAACTCAACTCCGAATCAAATTCCTTCAAGCCCGCAATTCCTGGTTGTCTGGCATACTCTCTGCAATCTCCAGGGATGATCGTACGTTCTCTGTATTGATCTAAGGTTTTTTTTTTAAAGTGATTTGCAAGGCTTATGAAAGCTCCACTGGAAGGCATTTTCCGTACATGCGAAAAAAGGCTTGAATTTTTAGAATCAAATTAAAGCTCATATTTTCTGCTGTTGGAAGGTGTTCTAGGCTGGAAGGCTTTTTGGGTGGAATGTGGTTGCATCAGCCTTGAGCAGGGAACACTTGACCACTTGTCAATGTATTCCTTTGCTTTTGGCAAAACTTGCAGTGATGAAGAATTTGCATGAGGTTGAGTTTTAATCAAAAGCAGCTTGGGATATCAAGCATATTCTCTGAAAATTGTAGCCATTTTAGTGACATTGATGCAGCCAGCAGTAGGCAAACTGAAACTCAGACCTGCTTTGTAAAAAAAAAATAATTAGCTCTTTTTTGGAAAAAAATTAGGACATTAGGATGGCACAATAGCCCAGAACAAAAATTGAGCTTTATTTACCACTAAATGCAATAAATGTTTTCTCCAACACATGAACTGTACTCCATAGGAGTGGGACTGGAGTTTTTTGAGAGGCTTAAAGTATTGGAAAATGTCTGGAGAGAGACACTCCACTAGGGATACATGTGTGATGGCTAATTTTACTCTGAGAATGGACAAGAAGTTGAGCAAAAAAGCACCCTGCAATATTCTATCTCCATCTCCTTGGGTTGGCCCCACCCAAGATCCGTGTACATCTTTACCTTCCCACCACTGCTGCTCTGCTCATTGTTCACCTCCTTTCCCATATCCCTTTAGAGTATGTAAATACACTCTCCTTTTGCTGCCAATTGAATGTCTCCTTTCTTTGGGAAATCCAGAAATAGATATCAATATTCTGGTGTCATCCATTCATCCATGTGCAACTTTCATTGCTCCTACTAGATATTCACTCCTTTTTCTTTATATGGCCTAGGGGTGTGGATCAACTGTAGCTCTCCCCTGCAGATACATTCTAAGGATTCTGGTTTAGGCATAAAAGGAAATCCTATGCCAAATTTCAGTCAGAGATGGTCACTCCACTCTCTCCCTACACTTTGTACTTGATCCAACTTCCAATAATAAAAAAATAAATATCAAGGTTCACTTTATTCCATTTACCTTCCTTATACAAAAGTGATACATGTTAACTACAATAGACCTGATCAGTATACCCTCTAGTTCCATGGAATATTAACTCTGGACTCTGCGAGATATTCATCATGATTATTGGATGTATTGGACCCTCTTCATGAATATTGGATTTTTGGATATTGGTAAATTGGTTTCTCATCAGTAACATCCCAAATTTGAATACTTAGGTCTCTTCAGTCTCTAGTTGAAATCATATAGTGTTGGATTGTTTGAATTGAAGAAAGAAAAAGAGTTGTTGAGTTGGGTTACGTTGTATGTGGAATCAGGTTATCATCACATGACGAGGACACTAGAGCTCTATCGTGTCCACCTCTTTGACATCCTTACTCAGTACCGTGCTTTATTCAGTGAGGACCCCCAACCCATCTTCACCAGCTTCCTTCAACACAAGGTATGTAAGTTTTTTTTCTTGTTTCCTCTTTGAAATGAATAATGCAGGCTAATGTTTGAAAGATAACTTGTTCAAAATTGTTTGTGAAACGTTCACAATCAAAAGAAGGAAGTGAGAACCCTTGAAGCAGCTGTTTGCACTTTAAAAACATCAATTTACCCAGGACACAGAGCTGAATTTTGCTAACAAGTTTCAGCATTCCTCAGCTTGTCATAAACAAGGAGTAAAATCAGAAGAAAAAACAATGTACCTCCAAAGTTATGCCTTATGACATTTTCTCCATTTGCTGTCACATCACACAAAACTATTTTCATGCATTCTTTCTCATTTCATTGAGTTTTCCACCCAGGTATCCGAGTTATTGAAGACTTTGGAGGAGGATTTGTTAGAAGGAGGTGGAAACATGCGAACTGATTCATTGTTGGGACAAGCCATGTATTTTGGCTTGAGCCTAAGCCGAATGGGAGGAGATTTCAGGGCTCTTCTCCCAAAAATCTTTCAAGATGCTGCCATCAGATCCTTGAAGAATTCTCTTGCAGATGCTAATATGAAATTCCAGGATGGGCTGTCCCTTTTATTTCTAAATGCTCCTGCCAATATGCCCTGCCTTCTCTCTAGCACAATGGCCTCCTCTCAGGTTTGTCTCATTCCTTTGCTTTCACTGATATATATAGCTTGCTGACATGCACAAGGCAACAGTTTGTTCAGGAATATATAGGAATAAAGGGTGCTGCTATATCCATATATCCACTACTTTTAATTGTCATATATAGGGTGTCTACAATTATGTATACTGTTTGCAAGTCATATTACTTCAAAATGAATGATCACTGATAGGTGAAACAAAATATGCAGAAACACCTAAAAGTTTTGTGCTGCATAGATACCAAGTTCACATTCACTTGTGGCCCAGGAATTATGTAAACTAAAAATGGCAGATTTCACAGGAGCTGAGAAAGCACGGTGCATTTTTTGGTTCAAAGGAATGTGATATGTGCTTAGTTTTTTTATGGTAGTGCCACAAGTCAATGTTTTAGTGCTTTTTTCCCCCCATTTTATGATTCCACTAAAATATTAAATTTAGAAACAATAGGAACATTGCAAAACAGTTTTGTTACTTTCATTCATTACATTGGGAAAAGTTTCCTCAAGAGCTGCAAGTCCTTTATGGTTCCATTTTTGAAATATTTTGCCAAAATATTCCAGAAGCTGCATGAGATTAAAGCCAAGAAAGATGTAATTGATGTTTAATTCTTCTGTTGTCATATACTAATTGCAAAGTGTAATTTGCACATGTGGTGTGTTATGCCTCTATAGGATGATCTGCATCCACCACTGAGTCTCCTGGAATTCTATCCATTGGCGGAATACACAAATAGTGTCCTCGGGGCATTCAACGACTTGCGTCTCTGCTGTCCCCTATCCTGTGTGCTTCCGGTCACAGAAGCCGTGACGATGAGCCTCGAAGATGCCGCTTCTGCCGTTCGGGATTTGCAGCGCCAGGAGGAATCCAGTCTGAACGCAAGTGAACGCGAACTTCTGAAGAACTTCATTGACCGCTTCTCCTCCATTCTCCTGCCTTACATTGGACGTTGTTTTCAAGCCCTTTTTCCCCTCTCACAACTCTCCTCTGTCTTGGGAGTCTCTCCTCAACAGCTCAAAGCAGAGGTAAGGATTTCTCAACATATAACCCTAATTTATTACAAGAATGAAGGTTGTTTTGATGAGTAAATTCAATCCTTTTCTAGCAAAGTTCTATTTCATCATGAAGTTTGCAAAAGCTAGGTCTCTTCTGACCTTTTAATTGGATGAGGATACCTGTATTCCTGTATAAAGTAAATCGTGTTTCAGCTACATCTGAGAGTAAGCTAGCGAAATGATTGTTCATGGATGTGTAAGATTGCACATATGAAGTAGCATCTACTTGGAGTGAATAGTTTTTGGTCATTCCTTCTGGGAAATGCCTGACAAACTTTCCATTTATGGGGAAGAAGTCCCCTGACGGCAGTCTAACAATCCCTATGGTTCTGGTTTCCTCATACAACTCACTATCAGTTAGAAGAAGAGTGAAATGACAGCTTCATTGCTCACTTTCATTGTAAAGTGGGGTCCTGGTATACTCATTGTTGGCAATTGCATTTCTTTCTCCTGATATAGTATATGTTACAACTGCTTAATCTGAGGAAGAATAGCAGAAGTATTGGTATTGGCTTGTTCAAGGATGATGAAACAAAACGAAGTCAAAGGACAGATGAAATTAAAGCATGGTAAAGGTTATACGGCAATGTAGATGGATAGAGCTTTCAAAGCAAGTGCAGAAGTTAAATCCTGCTATGCTGGTGCTGAGAATCATGGTGCATTGAAGCTGAGTTTTCATGAAAAGTGGTTTGGGATGGAAAGTTGGAAGGATAGGGAACAAAACCCCAATTCTTGTTTTCAAAAACACTTGGTATATCTCAACCATTCTGCCCAAGATTTTTCATGTTTTATGAACGAACCCTTATTGCGATGGATAATATGGAAATTAGATGAAGTTGTAACTTGCATCCCTCAGGGGTCTGCTTTGAAAGTAGTGGAAGCAAAGAAGGAATTTCACGTTTATCATTCTGGTGAAATGGTGACTTGAAGACATTAAGTGAGAAATTATTTGAGAAATTTTTCTTGTCACTCATATTTTGAAATACAAAAGTGAGAGCTAGATTTGTTTTGTTGTTCATGTTGATCCACATGGCATCTTGTTTCATAGGGACTAGGGATTTTGGATGAAGAAAGAGTGAGGGGCCTTCTTCATTCCACCAACTCTGCTCTTATATTGGCATGAGTGGATTGCTTCACATTGTGATATCCTTGTGTCCATTGACTCCTTTGGGTCTGGTTCAGGTTTCTTTTTACTATTTAATCCAAAATGATGCACTGCCAATAGATATTTATGGTTTAGGTGAAAACCTTTTCTTCGTCCTCAACAATGAAGTAGGAAAGAACATTATTGATTTTTCATTGGGTTAGTGCCTCAGAAAAATTACTTGAAAAATTTATTTCTATAAAATTATCAGATAATAGAATTTTGCTGAATGTTGAAATTTTTTAAATCCTTTAAAATTTCTAAAAGAACTGTATACAATTTTATTGGTATTTTATTTATCTAGTATTGGTTCAATAAAGTTGTTTCTGAAAGAATGGGCTTCTCTTTGCAAGTTATGCATTACTCAGAAACCTTCTAGCCAGGATTTCTTCTGTGTTTCTCCCACACAGAGTACATAAAGCAGGGATGAGAACGATTGCATCGTGGATTGGATGACCCCTTCCTCCAGCAAAGGATGACGTGTCATGGATTGTTTATTTTCATACATGATATGTGCATTCCACAGGATACATGTCATGATGGCGAGAATCACATTGTGTTATAGATGGTAAAGAGAACCATAAAGACAAGGAAAGGGAAAGAAAACACGAAGACAGCACCGTGCGTGATTGTAAAGGTTGAGAGGTTTTTTCACAAAAACATGTGCAAGTGTGATTGATAGATTCCTTCCTCCCTCAAGTCAGAAAGGCAGTGGAATTGTACTCAAAAAGCTCCTTGGAGATATGACAGTTGAAGATGACACATTCAGGGGAATGGGGTCCCTCTAAAACGAGGTGCCCTCCATGCACTCCTGCAGATTTCCATTTTATTGCCCCTGCTTTGCACACACTCAGAAGTTGATGAGCTAGCAGGGAAGGAGAGATTTCTTCTGCGTTACATGATGGCAATATCTAATTCTCACCATGAGCAACAGGGAGATCCTCATGCGCACAGTGAATTTCGTTCACAATACAAACTTTGAAAATATGAGGCTGGAAGGACTCCAGGTACTGCCAGTTCACCCTTTTACATTCTCAGTTGGCATATTTCCTCTGGTCCATTTCTGAAGATTGAATTCCCAGTTGAGAAGAATCCATCCGCAACTTGGGATCACACTAGCAGACGATGGACGGGCTCAAAATCCACTCTTCATTCCTGAGCGTATCATGGTCTACGTCTATCTTTTTAGTTTTCTTGGACATCTTGATGCACTTTATTTACCACAGTGGAGGAAGAAGACATTTCTTAATCGGATGGAGCAACGATGGCAACGGACGGGAAATATGGATCTCTTCAGATGCCAATCTTTTTCTATGCAACACCTTTTCATCATTATCTCTCTCGGCATAATTCTCAGGAGATTCCAGCGAGAGATGGAGACGGACTATATTTCAACAAGCATGCAGTGATGTTCTATGGAAGAACGAAAGCAGAAGTGCGATGATGATGAGTGAGATGCTGGAAGACAGACGTTATTATTCTCCATTCTTCTGAGACATTCATTCTCTTCAGTTCCCATGAAAAAAAATCCCTTCAGATAATTGGAGATTGTTGAGAGGGACTATGGCGACCCATCGTGATACGGGCAGGGAAGCCTTTATAAGTCTATATCCAATTTCCCTTGATGTGTACATCACAGCATCAGCTCTCAGTCTCGCTGAAGTCACTTCGTTCGCAAAAGAAGACGAGATGAAAGCTTTTATATAGAAGTAGCAAAGAATGGCAGAAATAAGTAATTTATGATTTGACCAGATTACGCGCTATCTTTGGTGTTCCGAATGCCTTTCTTTGATTGCAGGAAAGTGATTGTATGAGTTTCATCGACGTATCACCTCCCTATTTTCTCATCCACGGCTGGAAGCTTTGCATCCAGAGACATCTTCCTGCAAAGAGCAAACAAAAATGTCAATCGACCCGGAGTTAGGATTCCTGACCTGCAGAAAGTGTGTGAGCACTCGTGTGTCTCGAGCTGTGACTCCTCACAGATCATACGGAGGAATTCAGAGAATTTCCAACCCAAGTTGAAAAATACCTGGAGAGGAGAGAATCGTAGGATCCCGGTGCGGAATTGGATCGTCCGTTCATCTGGAACTTGACCTTAAACGGGTGCTGGAAACTGTGTTTCTTGATCATGGACTTGACGAGGATCAAAGTATCCAACTTGGGGATGGATCTCACGCTGTTCTTCACTTCCTCCTCCGTTACTTCCACGAGGTTCGTGCAATTCTCCTCCTCCGAAGGCAGCGGATTCTTCCCGCCTCTCGTCACCCACTCGTGCTCCTGCATTTCACACAGACGACAAATCTCGGAGTGAAACGAGACCATCTGGCCTCTAGGGTAGAAGGGGATTATATTCCGTCAGAAAGCACTAGCACAGCTAACTAGCCTCGAGCAAGTCACACGCGATCCTTCAAGTCGTCTACGTAAGCAAAGCTTTTTTTCCCTAAGAACTTTCCATAGCTTCTAAGGATGATCGAAACAGCAAACCCTGTCAAACAACCGATGATAACCGTATGGGATAAAGCAATATTTGAAATTAAATTTTTATTTACCTGGTTCCACTATTAGGCCTTCCACGAAGTAAACCGTCGTGAACGTAGTCCTTGAGAATTTTAGAACATGTCATGAGAATTCGTCGGCTTAACTCGAGAACTTCTACATTCGGCTGATGCGATGGAGAACCATTCTTAATCGACTCACGCAGTCTTCGCTTTGCCCACAATAAAATAAATAAGCTTCGATAGCGCTATTTAAAAAAAAAACCTGGTGCATGCCAAATGTTGGTTTTGTGGGAAAGAGTCCCTCGTATGAGATTAACTGTCAATTTAAACGAAGCAAATTAATGACTTAACAAGATTATATGGATCTAAAGTGTAGAAAGAGGGAAAGCAATGGTGCGAACTGAAAAAAGGAGAATCTAAAACGGGGGGGGGGGGGGGGGGGGGGGGGGA